AAAGAAGGTAGTGAAACAGAGGAGGCTAGCCCCGTGGTACAGCTCGCAGCTCCGCTCCCTAAAGCAGGCATCACAAAAAATGGAAAGGAGGTGGAGTGTCCTTTCCATTTTCGAAAAATGGAAAGGAGGTGGCACTCCACTAAGTCAGAAGAGACTTTCTTAGCCTCGAAAGATAGTTTAATAACATATTTTAAAAAGCCCTTCATAGTGCCAGAACTGCATATTATTCATCACTGATGGAGGAAAATAAGAACAACCCCAGGTTTCTTTTCAGCACTGTAGCCAGGCTGACAAAGAGCCACAGTGCTGTTGAGCTTAATATTCCCTTACATCTCAGCTGTAATGACTTCATGAGCTTCTTTACAAATAAAATCACAACTATTAAAGAAAAAAAATAATCAGATGTGATTGTCAAAGTGATGAAAAACTGGTCCATGCATTTGTTACTTCCAGGCTGGACTACTGTAACTCTTTACTATCAGGATGTCCCATCTCATCTCACATACCACTTAGTCCCAAATGGGGTCATGGGGGGCTGGAGCCAATCCCAGCCAGCATCAGGCGAAAGGCGGGGTACATCCTGGACAGGTTGCCGGTCCATTGTAGGGCCAACACGCAGACGAACAACCACACACACACATTCACTCCTATGGGCAATTTGGAGTCACCAATCAACCTAAGCCACATGACTGTGGACAGTGGGAGGAAGCCGGAGTACCCAGAGAGAACCCATGCAAGCACGGGGAGAACATGCAAACTCCGCACAAAAAGGTCACAAACCCAGAACCTTCTCACTGTAAGGCAACGGCGCTACCCACCGCACCACCACTGCCCAGGATGTCCCAATAGTCCCATAAAAAGCCTCCAGTTAATCCAAAATGCTGCAGCCAGAGTACTGACAGGAACTAGCAAGAGAGATCATATCTCTCCCATCTTAGCTTCTCTCCACTGGCTCCCTGTAAAATCCAGAATAGAATTTAAAATCCTTCTCCTAACATACAAAGCCCTTAATGACAAGGCTCCATCGTATTTTAAAGACCTCGTAGAGCCTTATCATCCTAACAGAGCACTTCGCTCTCAGAGTGCAGGTTTACTTGTGGTTCCTAGAGTCCACAGAAGCAGAATGGGAGGCAGAGCCTTTAGCTAACAAGCTCTCCTGCACGTATCTATATGCCACCATTACATGTCAGTATCAGAATCAGCAGGTGTGTCAGACATAGGAGGAATTTGACTCTGGTACAGCGGCTCTCATTGTGTACATACATGTCAGACATGTCACTAACTCTGTGTCTGCTCTCTCTCGTAATGTGTCCTACTGCAGCTTCTAGTGTGGCTCTGCTGGGCCTGTTGCTGCTGCTGCTGCTATGCTTTGCTTTCATTAATTCATTTATTTGCTTGTTTGTTTGTTTTTGCATCTTACAACATCCCTACACTATTTCTATACTCAACCACACTGACAATACTGATATGACTGATTTACACACTTCATGCATTATTCATTTTTTCTTTATTTTTATTCAAACTAATGGAAGTTGTGTCCGTTCCCATTCTTGTCATGGCCTATGAGCCAGGTCATGATGAACTGGGGGCTCGTCCTGTTGTATTTGCATGATTTAGGTCTGAGGTTGGCCCGTGCTTGTGCTTGCTTTTTGTGTATTTGCTGGATGTTTGGCCCAATTGTTTTGTCAGTAAGCTTATACATTCTGATTTGGTTTGGGGATGGACACAATTTTGTTGTGTGATATAAGTTGTAATTTGTTCAATTTTTGAGCTGTATTTTGTCTTAGTGCTGTTGTTTGTCAATACCAAATGTTTTGAATGACTTGTGTGCGATCTTTTGTGTGCAGGTTTGTTGGTGAACAGAGAGGAGTTTTTCCTGGTAGGCTCTAGAAGTGATCCCCTTTGGGCTCGTCAGCTACTGGAGGGGTAATGCTGCAGCAGACGTGGTTAAAGCTTTGCTTGTATCCATGGTTGTGTGTGTATCCCTACCTTGCTAATTGCTCACTGCACCATTGGGCTTTGGTGTGCAAGTACCGCCATATTCAGCTGCTAGAAGAATGGGGGGAGCTTAGTTAGAGCACTTGTGCATGTGAATAATGGCAGAATTTGAGTCCTTTTTTTGTCTTCGCCTTCTGTGGAAGCTTTGGAGAAACTGAATAAGGAGCAACTGCTTAATCTTGCTGAGAATTTTCCTGGGGTTTTAAGACATAAATGTGTGAAAGAAAATATTAAGATGGCTGTAATGGCAAAACTGATAGAACTGAATGTAATTACAGCAGATCTGTCTGCCACAGGTTTGACATTTGAACAACAGAAAGTTATTGTTGTTGCAGTTTGAACATGAATGGGCTAAACAAGACTAGTCAATTAGGGCACAGAGAAAATTCATCAGCAAGCTAAGTGGAACTTGGAAGGACAATGGTCTCTGCGTGCAGCTAGTGAAAGGCCTGGTGAAGACCAGACTACAGTAGCTGAGTGTACTTTTGCTGTTAACGTTTTAAGATTGCCTCACTTTAATGACACCTTTTTCACATTGTTTGAGTGTGTTAGTAATGCTAGAATTTGGTCTGATGAGGAGAGTGCTATGATGTTTAACTGTGTTCATACAGTAGGCATTTTCTTCTTTGAGTGTGAAGGATAAGTCCAGTTAGGAAAAAAATTGAATCGGTGGTTTTTGGAGCATATGAGCTTGTTCCAGAAGCCTACCGTCAGTGGTTTAGGTTATGGGAGAGGAAGGGCAATGCTGAATTAGTTAGAGATCTAACATGCCACTTTAAAAACTGGTTAACTGCCATTAAGGTGCTTTCGAGGATGTGTGAGCTAATAATTTTAGAGTAGTTTAAAAACACGCTAGCAGAGAAGATTGCCATATACAGTGCCTTGCGAAAGTATTCGGCCCCCTTGAACTTTGCGACCTTTTGCCACATTTCAGGCTTCAAACATAAAGATATAAAACTGTAATTTTTTGTGAAGAATCAACAACAAGTGGGACACAATCATGAAGTGGAATGAAATTTATTGGATATTTCAAACTTTTCTAACAAATAAAAAACTGAAAAATTGGCCGTGCAAAATTATTCAGCCCCCTTAAGTTAATACTTTGTAGCGCCACCTTTTGCTGCGATTACAGCTGTAAGTCACTTGGGGTATGTCTCTATCAGTTTTGCACATCGAGAGACGGAAATTTTTGCCCATTCCTCCTTGCAAAACAGCTCGAGCTCAGTGAGGTTGGATAGAGAGCGTTTGTGAACAGCAGTTTTCAGTTCTTTCCACAGATTCTCGATCGTATTCAGGTCTGGACTTTGACTTGGCCATTCTAACACCTGGATATGTTTATTTGTGAACCATTCCATTGTAGATTTTGCCTTATGTTTTGGATCATTGTCTTGTTGGAAGACAAATCTCCATCCCAGTCTCAGGTCTTTTGCAGACTCCATCAGGTTTCCTTCCAGAATGGTCCTGTATTTGGCTCCATCCATCTTCCCATCAATTTTAACCATCTTCCCTGTCCCTGCTGAAGAAAAGCAGGCCCAAACCAGGATGCTGCCACCACCATGTTTGACAGTGGGGATGGTGTGTTCAAGGTGATGAGCTGTGTTGCTTTTACGCCAAACATAACATTTTGCATTGTTGCCAAAAAGTTCGATTTTGGTTTCATCTGACCAGAGCACCTTGCTGCGGCTGGAGCAGCAGATGAGTATGTGTTGCACTGCAAGTCTAGCTTCAGAGAATGCACACTTGTGTGTATGATGTGAGCCGGAGAAGTAATGGCTTCGGTGCTGTTCTACTTGATGTAGCATCTTCAGGGAAACCTGGTGTGTGCAGTTAACAGTCTTAGCTATTCCTTTACACACTGTAAGGTGAATGTGAGTTTTGAGCTAGTTCAAGGAGTAGCTGCTGTGGGTGTATGTCCAGCACTTCCACTCCAGAGTCGTCACTATATTTTGGGTAATAAGTTGGCTGGTAGCTGTGCTTGGGTTGATGCCACCTGCAGTTTCAATTTGCCTATCTGATACTACTTTAGTGGTGGTGTCCTCTGAGAAGCCTGATGTTACGGGCCCCATAAGTAAAGCTGTGAGGGAGGTGTTGTCTGATAGTAAGAACTGTGAACTTAAATGTTTCATCTTTATCTAACTTTCCTTTGTCTGTAACACACATCGAGCGGTCACATGAGCAGCCAGATGATCCGTCTTTACAGGATGTGTTTAGCCATGTTATGTCTGCTGAAGACATTAAAAATGTTGCCAGTGTGTGTTTGTGCAGAACGACTTGCTGTTCAGGAAATGGACTTCATTTGAGGCCAGTTTTGCATGTAATGTTGTTTTCCAGTTGGTCGTACTAATTTTGTTCTCGGGTACGTTGGGTTGCACATGAAGATAGTGGTCATTCTGGTGTGAAGTCTTGTCTTGAAGGTTTTTTTTTTTTGGCCACATACTGTATGATGAAGGATGTTTCTCCTTATTTAAAACATGTCACGTGTCACCTGGCTGAAAAACCAAATCAGCATGTTAAACCTGCACCATTACAACCTATTTCAGTGGTTGAAGAGCCATTTCAACATCTTATGGTGGACTATGTGGGTCTGTTGCCTTGGCTATAAATATTATGTGTCAGCGTACAAGGTATTCTGCTGCGTACCTCCTGGAAGTCTATAACAGCTAAAGCTGTGGTTAAGGCACCCTCTGTTTATTTCAGTGTTTGGCATTCTGAAAATTATTCAGAGCAATCAAGGCTCAGATTTTTCTTCATACATGTTTGTACAGGTGCTCAAACTATTGTACATAAAACATAACCAGTCTTCGGCCTATCATGCACAAATCCAAGGAGCTTGGGACACTCTTTTACATCCATATTGCACCGAACTGGATATGGACAGGGAAGAAGGGCTCCCATGGCTATGGCCTATGATGGCCATGCACAAACAGGAGTTTAGCTTTGGTGACCAGGCTTTAGTGCTTATGCCTGTTGTCGGTTCACCTTTTCAGGCTAAATACTTTGGTCCATTTACTGTGGTGGAAAAATGTGAGTGTGATTTGAATTATCTGATTGATACAAAATACAAACCAACTTTGTCAGATTAACTTGCTTAAACCTTCTTATAGTCATGTGTCTGAGGTTGGAAATGTGATGTGGCCTGGTTTGACAGTGAGTTGTTCCAGATGAGCCTCTCTCTCCTAGTGTGGCTCTGCTGGGCCTGTTGCTGCTGCTCTCTGCCTGCTATGTTTTGCTGCCATTAATTCATTTATTTCTGTTTTTGCACCTCATGACAGCCCTACACTATTTCTACACTTACCCACACTGACGCTACTGATGTGACTAATATACACACTTCATTAGTTAATAAATGTAAATATTGGAAATTTTCCGCTCCCATTGTTGTCATGGCGTGCAAGCCAGGTCATGACAATTTGTTGTGTCTTGTTCCTTTTCTTCTTTTGTCTCTCCTCTATCCACTCACCCCAACTGGTCGAGGCAGAAGGCCGCCCACCAAGAGCCGGGGTCTGTCGGAGGTTTCTTCTGTTAAAGGGAGTTTTTCCTCCCCACTGTCACCAAGTGCTTGCTCAAGGGGGATTTGTTGGGTTTTCCTTATAGTGTAAAGTCTATACATGGCTATGTAAAGTGCCCTGAGATGACCTTTGTTTTGATTTGGTGCTATACAAATAAAACTGAATTGAATAGAAGCACCTGATGCAGCTGCGTATTGCTGGAAGATGCCGACCTTATAATTCACTGGGTCACCATTCATGCCAAGCTATTCTTGAATGGAAGAAATACAGCACTATTCAGACTCAAGTATAATCTACACTGATCAGCCATAACATTATGACCACCTGCCTAATACTGTTTACATAGGAGTC